GGGTCTTACACAAGATGACGCAATGACCTTACGCTGCGGCGTGCGCAGGTCGCCAGCACGGAACGCCACATTGAAGACGAGGGCGCTCACGCGCGATCTTCCGCGGGCAGCTTGCGCGCGATTGTCGGCGCAGGCGACCCCGTGCTTTTGTGTCGCTCGCCTCGGTGTCCGGCGGTGAGTGCGCCCTCCAGGAGTCGATGTTCAGGTGGACGAGGGGGTTGGCACCCGTCGGGTAGTTCCAATAAGTGAAGATCCTGCGCCCGGCGTCGCTAGCCCAAAGCCTCCGACGCAACGCCCGGGGCCTCCAATTCTCCGAGCTGAACTCTGCGAACCTTGCCGGTTTAGGAAGGCGAAAGGGCCTGACACGGAAAGCCGCTTGGCCGAGACAGCGAGAAGTCGCCGCCATGTTTTCTCGTCTAGGGGCCAGTCCCTCCCGAAGGTCCCAGGGGCACCCAGGATGGATCCTCAGGGCTGTGGTTGGGCAGGGCCCATAGCTGGCGGTCTTTGTCTTCGTCTCCTCGCCACGTCTGGCACTAGGTTGGGCGTGTCCTCCTACAGGGGGGATGAAACATGAGAAATAGTCTTGGCACCAGCCTGCGCAGGTGCCCGCCTTCCTCAGCTGCGGAGCCCAGCCACGTCGCACGCATGCTGCCAGCCTGTGCTAGGTACCCCACGGCCGGAGGGAACTTCGATGGTTTGTTGTGTTCGGCGACTGTGTAAGCTTCGCGCATCTCTCGCCTCGGGCGGCGCCGCTCCTCTGGCCAACAACTTGAGCCCCGATGAAGGGCCGGCTGAGTCCCCCCTCTTTCCTGGACCGCTTCACGCCCTGCCTGAGACCCCACCAGAGGGCCAGACGGGATCCACACGGCGTGGGCCCCGGCTTCTGGCATCGCGTGAACTGTCCGACCCGGAACCCATCTCCGCTCTCGAAATCCACGGAACCGTCGACCCACCTGCACATGAGGGGAACGGGTCCTGAGGGAAACGGGTCCCGGTCCCTGGGGCCTTCCCCCGAATCGAATTGTTCACCTGGAGCCGTTCTCTGACAGTCCCGGGGCCCGTGGAGGGCCCCGACAGCCCGGAAGCGACGAACAACCTCGGGACCCGTTTCCCTGTATTTTTCTGGTTTGCTCCTTCGCTCTTCGGGCCTATTCTGCCGTGCTCCTGGTCTTTTCTGTCGTACTCCTTGGCTCCTCGGGCCTTTCCTGTTGTTTTTCGGTCTTTTCTGCCGTCGTCCTTAGCTCTTGGGGCACCTTCTGCCGTGCTCCTGGTCTTTTTCTGGCGTCTTTTTTTTCGCTCTTGGGGCCTATTGTGCCGTGCTCCTCAGCTCTTTGGGTCTATTCTGCCGTGCTCCTGGTCTTTTCCCGCTTCCCCCATGGCGAACTCCACCGTTCGTGCAGACTCGGCGCCGGTCGGTGGCTTCCCGTGGACCGCGGGGCGTCGAGGCGTGCCCCCCCGTGGGCGTTGCTGCCTCGAGCGCGTGGGCCAGCAGCGCCGCAGCGCCGAGGCTCCGCGCGAGCCTGCCGAGGCCCACTGCCCGCTGGGAGTCGACCCCTGGACGCCTCGCGCGAGGCGGAGATAGATCTGCAGCCGCAGGGGAATCGTGGCGTGGACAGCAGGCAATTCCTGAGATCAGACTCCGAGTTTCTTAATAATAAGCGTCGGGGGGGCGTCACCCCCGCTGTCAGCGCCTCACCGACCCCCGTCGCGGGTGGCCACCGCGCGCCGAAAACGCTACGACCCCAGTCGCGGCGCGACGACGAGGCGAGGTTGACCCCCGTCGGGGGGGTACCCCCGCACGCTTATTCAGAAACCCAGCGTAAACGGAACTCGCGGGGAGGTCGCCAGGATGTCGCTGAAGCGCGCTCACCAGTTCTTGCAACTGTGCAGTTCCGAAGGACGCTTTGTCATTCGGCTCTCGCTGCGCATCTTCGGAGCTCCCAACAAAAGCACCCTGCAGGGTGACCACCGCCTGGGGGATCGAGCCTCAGGGGCAGGTGCAGGCGGTGGGCACGGGCTTGCCCCCTTGCCCAAACCCAGGGCCCGAGCATGTACACGTCCGCCGCCCGCCGATGCTGAACTGGGCGACGACGACGACGACGACGGCGACGGCGGCGACCACGAAGACGACGACGCTGTCGCCTGCCCGGCGCGGCGGCGGCGCCTCAGGTGTGAAGGTGTTGTAAGCGTTTTTCCCGCACAGCCTTCCACAAGAGGCCCACAGCCCGGACATGCTCGCGTCGCGAAAAGATCGGGACGCGAGGTGCTTCGATCTCCGTGCGGTGATTACGGATACATCCCCACCTCGGACCTCCTGAACACCATCCTGACCGCGTCCAGCCGCCGCCGCGAGGGCGCCCCGCCCGCCCCCCCCCCTTCCCCCCCCCGCAGCACCAAATTTTCCGAGCAAAGCACCCTACCAGAGCTCGACCACAAGAGCCCCTTCCACATGAAACCCAACCCCGAGGCCCCAGGACGCCCATTGACTTTCGGTGTGGGAGCGCCACGCTTTCCACAGCAAAACCCTGGAAAAAACTCAAGAAACCCAGGGCACCCTGGAGGCAAGCAGGGTGCTTCTTGGCATGTGCTTCCGCTGCTAGCAAGCAGAGGGGAAGAGGCGGGTCGAGGAGCGGGAGGATGGCGAGTGAGAGCGTGCCAGGACAGGAGGAGGAGGAGGAGGAGGAGGAGGAGGAGGAGGAGGAGGAGGAGGAGGAGGAGAGAGGAGGACGGATGAGGAGGGAGGAGGGGAGGGAGGAGGGAGGCGAGGGAGGAGGGAGGATGAGGAGGGAGGGGGAGGAGGAGGAGGGCAGGAGGGATGAGGGAGGAGGGAGGAGAGATGGAGGATGTGGAGAGGAAGGGAGGAAGGAATGAGGAGGAGTATGAAAAAAAGTGAGGAGGAGGAGGAGGAGGAGGAGGGGAGGATGATGATGAGGCAGAGGAGGGAGGAGGCAGGAGGGAGGAGGATGAGAGGGAGGACGGAGGGAGGGAGGAGGAGGAGGACGAAGAGTGAGGGGAAGGAGGAGGAGGAGGAGGAGGGAGGAGAGGGAGGAGGAGGAGGAGGAGGAGGAGGAGGAGGAGGAGGAGGAGGGGGAGGGGGAGGAGGAGGAGGGATCTCCAGCGGCAGGGCCATGTGCGCCGCCAGAATATGTCCAAATCCACTGCCGCGGCATCGTGTCCTGGGGTCCCGGGGAAGCAGCAGTTCTGGACATCTGCCCACCCACGCGAGCGCGCACATGTCCACACCCACCACTCCTTGAGATCCAAGGCCACGGTCCCGCGGCAGTGGATATGGACATATTCTGGACCATGTGCATCAAGGCTGGGATTGTTTGCTGGGGCTCGTGGCCGTCCGGACCGAAAGTGCTGCCGGCATGGAGGCGAGCGCACGCTTTCTGCATACACTGTGAGAAGATCTGTCACGCGAAACGGCTGCCAGACCGATGCTGGACCGGGCGGTCTCCCCGTCCCCCCTGCGGGGCTCTTCTCTTCGATGCGCGGCCCCCGGAAGTCCCGACCCTTTCCCCGGGACCGAATGTTCCATCCCGGGTCGTGTTTTGACGGCCCAAGGGCCTGGCGAGGGTCCCCAGGGGCCGAAAAGGACGAAACATCTCGCGTCCTTGTTTTCTTTCGCGACGCGAGCATGTCCGGGCCGTGCGCCTCTGGGGGAAGGCCGTGCGGGAACAACGCTCACAACACCTTCACAACTCGAGGCGCCGCCGCCGCGCCGGGCCGGCGACAGCGTCACCGTCGTCGTCGTCACCTTTGCCGTCGCCGCCGTCGTCGTCGTCGTCGGCGGCGGCGTTGTCGCCGTCGAATTCGTCGGCGTCGTCGGCGACGTCGTCGTCGTCGGCGTCGTCGACGCCGTCGTCGTCGGCGGCGTCGGCGTCGCCGTCGTCGGCCGAGGCGCCGCTGCCCGCTGCCGCGTCGCGCAGGCGCCAGCCTGCCGCTCGCCGCGGCCCGCCCCCCGGGTCCTGTACCTGCCCCCGCCCTTCGCGGGCCCTGCCGTCGGCGCCGCCCCCGCAGCCACGCCTGGAGGTGCTGGGGGCAGCAAGCGACCACGGCCACATCCAGGGGGCACCCTCGCGAGGCGGGGAGCCGGCGCCACCACCACGACCACAGCCACGTCCAGGACAAGGCCACATCCAGGACACAGCCTGGGACGCAAGCGGGCGGTGGATCTGGACATATCTGGCCTCCCCAAGGCCCGAATCTATGATCCTGGGATCCAGGCCCACGGGCTCCCCCCCTCCCCAGATGGGATGAGTCTCAGGGTCCCTCGGCACACCCACCCCCGATGAGATGGGGGGGAATGACGACGACGACAACGACGACGACGACGACGACGACAACGACGACGAGGAAGGCGACGTCGTCCTCCTCCTCCTCCTCCTCCTCCTCCTCCTCCTCCTCCTCCTCCTCCTCCTCCTCCCCCTCTTTCTTGATAGGGGGGGCAAGACCCCATACCCACCACCGCACGCCCACTGGGGAAGACCCCACCACGCCACGCCCACGGGGGAGGGGGGAAGGGGGCCATCGCGCGGGGGGTGGGGGGGGGGAAAGATGGCATCAGCAACTGGTGTTCGGGGGGGGCGGGGGGGGCCCGGACCCTGGACCATCTACATATCCGCCGCCCGCCGACGCACCCGAAGGTCGACCCCCCAGGCGGTGGTGATGGATACATCCCCGCCTCGGAACGGGGATGTCTTGCGCATGCCATGACTTGTCGGAACACCGAAACCAGCTTCGTACTGGTTGTGGTCGATGTGGGGTCCCAGGACGGCCAAACCGACCACTACCACAACCGAGGTGCTCATGCCGAGGTCGTCGGGTTCTGCTCCGAGGAGCCCTCCCGAAAAACCTACTTAGTTCTGGTTGTGGTTCTTTGTTGTGCCTGGAAGGGAAGGAGCAAAAACCCTCAGATCCGGGAGTTGCTGTTTTTGCCACGGCGGGCGTCTTCGGCAGTCTCTGGGCCCGGGGGCCATCACAGATCGATCGGGTCAGAAAAATACATAATCGTGATTTTTCGAGATGCTCACACCGGCGCCGACCACATCCCGCGATATCTTGGCCGTGGTCGTCGCGCTTCTTCCCCCGACCACCGCCAGCGCCGCCCTGGAGGCCCCCGCCGCTACCAGCGCCCGCGCTGGCGCTGCCGTGGGGGCCCGCGGCGGAGCCGGCCAGGCCACCTGCGCCGCCGCCCGCGAGGTCGGCCGCCCCTGGGGCAGGGACCCCGCCAGCGCCGCCAGCGCTGCTGGCGCGCACCGGGGGCGCGGGCCGCAGCTCAGCGGGGAGCGCTCTCCCCGCAGGGTCCCAGGAGGGGTCCTGGGCATTCTTGCGCCGATCCCCATCCCCACTGGCCGATTGACCTCCAAGATGTGGATGTAGGCTGTTCTCTTCCGGATTCGAGGTGCCGATTCCCGACTGGGGGGGGGGGGGCCGCGTGGGGACTGGGATCAGTGAACATCCCAGCTGCCCCGATACGCAACACGCAACACGTAGCGTGTCGACACGTAGACTGAAAACGCAGGTTTGGCGCGATACTTCCACACGTTCACCAGCACGTGGGCCATCACGGTGAGCCAACACGCAACCTATCGACACGGACGTTGTGAACACGACACGCGACATGCGTTGCGAGACGGGCGTGTCGAGGCAGCTGAAGTTTACAGAGCACCGAGGTCCAGGCCCCAGGCGGGAAGCCTGCTCCAGGTGGCCAGCGCGGCCGCGGCGGCCGTCAGCACCGCGGCCGCGACGCAGCCCCGGAGGGAGGGGCAGACGCCGCCGGGCCGCGATCGCCGCGGCATCGGTCGGCATAGCCCGCCCGCGGCCTCGGTTCCGCGACAGCGCGGCCCCTGCTGCGCGGGGCTGGAGCAGCGAGGGCTGCCTCCCGGGAGGTGGCGCTGCAGCGGGGCGTTCGCCGAGCTCTGGGGGAGCGCGGCGAGGGCCTCATCGAAGGCAGCAGGAGGAGGAGGAGGAGGAGGAGGAGGAGGAGGAGGAGGAGGAGGAGGAGAAGGAGGAGGAGGAGGAGGAGGAAGAGCCAGAGGAGGAGCTGCAGGGCTCGCCAGGCTGGGGGTCCAGCGCCGGGGCCGAAGGGCTGCCCCCGAGGGGCGGGTCCTCGAGGGAACACGCGGGTGGACCTTGGGAGGGTTCGGCCGGAGCTCGGCGGCGTGCGGAGGATGGCCCTCCTGGGAGACGGACGGCTTCGCAGAAGTCCAGCTTCGCAGAAGACTTGTGAGATGACTCTCTCGATCTCCACCTTCGAGACCTGCTGCGCAGCGGGTGCCGCCGCGGCGCGGCCGCGACCACCGCCGAGACCGCCGCTGCGGCCGCCACTGTGGTCGCGCTCGCGGCGGCCGCTGCGCGGCATCTGCCGTCCAGGAGGTGTGGAAGGTGGAAAGCGAGGGCTGCGGAACCCTTCCAAGGTCCCCCCTGCCTTCTTAGAACCCCCCCCCCAGTCTCGCCCAAGCCTCTTCTGCGCGGAGCCCGCTTCCCGACGGCGGGCCGGAGGCGAGGCTGGTGGTCGTCGTCGCCGCCGCCTCGTTCGTCGTTCGTCGTCGTCGCTGTGTCGTCGTCGTCGTCGCCGTCGTCGTCGTCGTCGTCGTCGTCGTCGTCGTCGTCGTCGTCGTCGTCGTCGTCGAAGTCATCGTCGTTGTCGTCGTCGTCGTGTACTCGTCGTCGCGTCGTCTTCTTCCTCTTTGTCCCCTCCCTTCTTTTCATCGAATTGCCTCCTCTGCAATGTCTGTCCCTTCCCCACGCCGAGAGTGGCGACAAGCCCCCGCCGCGATTTCTGTAAAGTCGTCGGAGGGATGGGTCCCTCCCCCTCCTCCGATGACGCCAGCGAGCGACGGACGACGAAGATGAAGGCGGCGGGGACGACAACGGACGATGACGCCGACGACGACGGACGGCAACGACAACGGACGACGACGCCACCGTCAACGACAGCGACAGACGACGACAGACGGCGGCGACGCCGACGGCGTCGAGGGCATCGACGGCAGACGACGACGGACGACGTTGCGCGGCGACTCTTCTTCGAGGGGGGCTGGCGCGCTCCGCGAGGCGTGACTTGCACGGCGGCGAGGCGCGAGCGGCGGAGTGCATGCCAGTGCGGACCCCACGCGCGCCGCCCCTGGATGGGGGCTCGCTGATTGCCGAGCCCTGCCCCGGGGCCTCCAGCTCCTCCTCCTCCTCCTCCTCCTCCTCCTCCCCTCCTCCTCCTCCTCCTCCCCTGCTCCCTCCTCCTCCTCCCCTCCTCCTCTCCTCCTCCTACCTCCTCCCTCCTTCTCCTCCTCCTCCTCCTCCTCGCCCTCCTCCTCCTCCTCCTCCTCCTCCTCCTCCTCCTCCTCCTCCTCCTCCTCCTCTCCTCCTCCTCCTCTCTGGGTCGACGGGGGCGATTGTCGGGCGTTTCCTGCTAGGTTTGATTCGGTCCAGGGGGGGTTCGACTGAAAGGGTCGAGAGGGGGAAGTTTTTGGTTGTCTTCGGCTCCTGCCGGGCATCCGGGGACCTCCGGGGTCCCTGGAGGTCCCTGGATGCCCGCGTCCTGCCGCCGATCAGCGAGCGATGTACAGTCGATTCCAATCGGCGGCGAGCGAGGGGAGGAAATGAGGAGAAGGCCCTCTCAGAAGGTGGCGGGACTTCTCAGAGGCCCTCTGGCCTTCTTAAGGGTTTTCTGTCTTCAGGGGTAACACACATTGGGTCGCTCTGACCAGAACTTCGAGGCGGACCCAGCCGTGGCCACGAGGGCGCTCCAGGATGGTCAAACACGTACAGGGAGCGAAACTCGATCCTCGAACCTCGGACCCGTGAGCCTGCCCCCCCCTCACGTCGCCCCTGAGTCACCTCCTGGCGTTGCCCCCGAGTCGCCTCCTGCTGCCCGCCCGCGGGCATGATGGGGCCGGCGGCTCTGTGGGGGCACGCCTCACATTGAAAGCTCGCCGTCTCCCCTCTCGCCCCCTTCCCCCTCTCCCTCGTCGTCCTCTCCCCCCTCGCCCCCCCTTCCCACTCCCCTCCCCTTCCCCTTCGCCCCCAATGTGCCTCCCCTCCCTCGTCGTCATCGTCCTGTTCCTGCCCCCCCTTTCTCGCCCTCCTCGTCTTGAACCGCTGGCACGTCCTGTTTCTCCTGGGTCCCACTCTGTTGAGACGGCCTGGCGAGATCAGGGCTTGTCGGGGCCCCTCCCCTCTCCCTCCTCCACCTCTTCCTCCTCCTCCCCCTCCTCCTCCTCCTCCTCCTCCTCCTCCTCCTCCTCCTTCTCCTCCTCCTTCTCTCCCCTCCCTGTCTTTCTTCTCCTCGTCTCATCCGTCCTCCTCCTCGTCCTCGCCCTATTAGCAACTCTCCTCTTCGCGCCGAGAAATGATGCCGTATCGGTGTCGATTGCGCTTGCCTGATGTTTGACACCTCCAACAGCTTCACCGATGGTGGGCGGGTGGTTTGTTGAAGTGTGAATCTCGCCTACACGCGCTGCGCACATTGGCTTCAACCAACCCCAGGAGTGGAGGGCGGCTCCCCTTCAAGACGTCGCTCCCGCCCTGGCGCAACGCAACGTTTGTTGAATCGTTTCCAAGAGCTTCGCCGATGAAGGACGACTGGCTTTCAAAAGGTGGTTCTCGCCTACGCGCTGTGCACATTCGTCTTGCAAAACCCCCGGCAGCTACAAGGATTCGAGGGCGACTCATGTTCAAAATGTGGCTGTCGCCCCAACGCCGCACACGTTCGCGTTAACACCATCGTCCCCACTTTGAACGAACGGATCGTGGTTCCTATCCAGCATGGGGCCCTCGCTGGGTACTCCCTTACAGCGTATGGTCGACATTGCAGCGTTGCGCAGCAGCTGCAATCAAGTGGAGGGCTGCCCCATTTCACACAAGGGCCCTCGCCTGAGACGTCGTCGACACTTGTACCCATGAAGGGGCCCAGGGAAACACACACACACACACACAACTGACAGGATTCCCCATAGTTTTCCATATGTCCTCGGTTTTTGTCGTCCCACCCCACTTCCCACATGTTTCCCATACTTTCTGGGGAATCGACGAGTTCACTGTGTCTGTGTGCTGTTTCTCGGGGATGGGCAGAACCCCTTTTTAGTAAAACGTGGTTCAGCGAAAACGACCTCGGGCCCAAACCTGGCGGGCGCAAGTCTGGAAAAGAACGGCCGCGGCGCCCTCCCGAGAACCGAAAACGGAGAAACCACTGATCGACGCGTCGTGGGTTTCTCCACGCCCGAGCTTTTTGTCCCTCCGGACGACGACGACGCCGACGACGACGACGACGCCGACGCCGACGACGACGCCGCCGACGACGACGACGCCGACGCCTACGACGAGGACGTCGACGACTACCTCGCCGACGACGCCCACAACGCCGCCGCCGACGACGACGTTGCCGACGGGGGTCTCTCCGCCCCCTCGAGAACCGACAACGGAGAAACCACGAATCGGCGCGTCATGGTGGGGGAGGAGGAGGAGGAGGAGGAGGAGGAGGAGGAGGAGGAGGAGGAGGAGGTAGATGAAGGGAGGAGGAGGAGGGATCAGGAGGCGGGGGTCGGGGAGGAGGGAGGAGGAGGTAGGAGGGGAGGAGGGGCGGAGTGCAGCAGGAGGACAGGGGAGGAGTTATGCCAGAGTGAGGAGGATGCTGAGGACGGGAGCGAGAAGATGAGGATGGAGGAGGGAGGGGGGTCTCTCGCGCCCCCGACTTTTTTTGCCCAGCCCTAGCCCGAGACCGGGGGCCCGGCACGGCCGGAGGGCGGCTCGCTCGGCAGGCTGGCGTCCCTGCACGGACGCTCTCCTCGACGTCCCGGGTCCGCCCCCCTTATCGGGGGGGGGAGCAGGGGGGGGAGGGAGGGGCAGGAGACCGACGGCGCGGACGGCGA